GCCGAATTGTTTAGGCTTTCAGCCAATATGCATGTAGCCAAAGGATTCCAGTGCTGATATAGGTATAATTAAGCATTTTCGGTATTATAAGGTTTTGAAATAAATTACATGCATTGCTCTTTGAAATTTTGTTAATACGAATTTAATATCATGCATGCAATTATCTACTTACAATAAACAATTACTTCGATTGATTTTTCATCTGTTAAAGTATGGCTCTTGGCTACACATTTATATGTTCCACTGGCTGTTTTATTAATATTAGTGAAAGTTAATGTTTGTTCTTCTCTTTCTGTTCCACCAATCTTGTTGCTACCTTTATACCATGTAACGTCTGCAGGAAGATTTCCACCTTCACCACTGCATTGACACTTAAAATTATCACCTTCATTTACTATGATGGGTGTGGAACAATTGAATGTCACAGTTGGTTTCTCTGAAATGTAATGAAACCACAAAAGAGTTTATTTTGGAAAGTCACTATGTAAGGCAAAAGTGCAGCTCATTATAATAGTAAACATTTCCGCTGCAGATGTTGCCTTAGTGTTTCATTCACTTTGTAGTAGTACCCTGGTGTACCTGCATTTTCCACCATGTTTAATAATGCCAAGGAATTAGCCAGTAGGACCAGGGGGTCCGCTTCAGTTCAAGCGGGCCGGGGCCCTTTACGAACTAATTAATATATAATGGTAACGATTTCTACCGATGTTGCCTTGACACCTTTGCCATGTCCATGCAACCTATAATTATAAGCATATCTGAAATGTTACCCATTGTACTTCAACAAAACGTACCTAAAACAAAAACCTCAACTGCAACCTCACCACCTCCACCAGATACTACAACATTAAAGTAGTATTTTTCATTATAACGTTCATGAACATTCTTTAGAACCAACGTTGCTGGTGTTTCTATTGCAACCTCAGGTAGGCTGCTGTTAGCAATTAAAACGTCCATGGTGCGAAATTTTACAGCAGGCTCTTCCGGTTTTGAACTACCTCTTCTTGTAAAATACCAAAGTAGAGATGCTCGAGCAGAATTGCCCACAAATGACCACTTTAGTCTTGCAGTTGATCCAGGTAAAACAACTATCACGCTCTGATTAGATGGTGGATAGACTTGCCCTACACAGCAAAAGGCTTTCTCTACTGTTTAAAAGTTACTGCAACGATACAAGTTATTTCTTTTGCCTTGGGGGAGGAGGCCGGAAAGGATTTAACCGAAGCTGAAGAAGATAAAAAATAACTGAAACTGATAATCAAAAAAAAAAATTGCAAAGTAATTATTACCCTTCCAAGGTTAACAAGTGGCTTTCCTTCGTAAGTGATGGGCATTCAGAAGTACTATCTTTATCATTTTACACTCCCACGATCCTTTAGAAACAATGATACACCGATTTTGAAAAAGAAATACCTGGATTTTTTCGGTTAACTGATGTAAACCTTCTCAACCGAGTCTGAACATCAATCATGTATTGGTACGAAGGGGGATGGGGAAAGACAACTCACTCAACTTAGATAAACAAAGGAGATAATATATACACGGGCATGTGGAAATACAACTTTAGTTTTTGAGTTTTTCTCATATAAAGGCCCGTTTACACCTGCAATTTTTGCTGCGATTTCTAGTGCGATTTTCTTCTTCTGATGGATGTGAACGAGTAAATAATTTATGAATGTTCTGAGTATTTGTACCCTCGTCTAAACATTCCTAGCTCATCCACTCGTTCACATAGATCAGGTGAAAAGAAAATCGCAGCTAAAATCGCAGCAAAATTGCAAGTGTAAACGGGCCTTTAGTAAAGCAAAGAGTGAGATATAAAACCACGGGGAAATAAAATTTGTAAAAATGAAAATATAAAGAATATAAAGTCTTATACCTTCACATGAAAACAGCGCAAAATTGAGTCCAAATAAATTGTGAAAACCAACACAAATCATTTTATGGAAGTCAAACCTGGATAGAAATAGGAAACAATTAGATATGCATGCAGTTGTTCCATAATTTTTCACAGAAAACCATCAAGGGAGATCTTCACAACAGCAAAAATAAACCTTATACATAATGACGTCACAGGCGTGATACGCGCAGGGAATGCTGGTCTTAATACCCACGGCGAAAAAATTCAAAACGATCCAACATGCCTACTGTCGAATGCGAGTGTGCTGCTGTTCTTTCTCGTCTTGCATGCAGAGGCTGTTCAAGCCAATGAAGACCTTAGTTCTTTTCAGAACTCTTGATAGTTCAATCGTATTTGGACATTTTTGTTCGAATAATACAAAAGATTATACAGATCTGATCTTTATTAATATGAAAAAAATCCTTAAACTACAGGTACTGTATTCCACATTCGTTACTTTAATAAAATGTACTGTATTTTTTCACACCGGCGAAGATTAATTAATAAAAAAGATTTATTGCTGGATGAATATTAATCTGGATATTATTATATTCAAGAACAGAATTCTTTTGTTTCTGTGACTAATCGAGATGCACTGGTGGGGTACAACCATATATTATATACTATACCTGTGAGATATTCGCGCAAAGTAAAAACAAAGTACCAGTTTATTCTTTGAAAATTATAGTTATCATGCGACAATGAGTTGCTAATTATTGCACGATGTGTTAATATACGCAATTACTACATGGTATAGACCATCCACATGAACATAAGATGTATGCCAAGATGCCCCGTTCAACAAAATACCAAGTCTGTATGTTCCATTGTAGTGGATATTAACGTCCTGTAAAATCACTGTTGAAGGTTTTTTGATTGCAAATGGCCCAGGTGAGTATTGGGGTGTTTCGATCACATCCAAATCATACACGATGTCAGCAAAACTGTTGCCCTTTGAAACAAATTTCCACGATCGAACAGATACGTCAGATATATTGACATAAATTTTCCACGCTATTGTCACATTTTCGCCTTGGAGGAAAATAGTAAAATTAATAATCAATGCATTTGTATTGGCATTGCCGTCTAATGCGCTCCACACTGTGTTATTTTACTCGAGGCGACCATCGTAGGAGAGTGCTTGCACTCACTGGGTTAATTTCAAGATGCACGGGTACCTTTAGCATTGGCATATATTCTGTATGATTCTGGCCAATCGGTGGTTTTTGAAAAGATTACCACAGAGACGTCCTGAAAAGGAGAGGAGAAAGTCTCTGCACGCGTAAAAACGCTCAGGTTGATGCAATACTGATGAAAACAGGATTGAACAATGTTTTGCTGCCCATATTGTTCATAGCTGTCAACAATATTGACACGTAGTCTGAATTGGCCAATTTGCATCAAAATGCTAGCGAAAATTGTCTTTTATCGAAATGGTTTATTAGTTGTATTTAAACTTGTACCTGTATCATAAAAGAACCGTCACAACTTACGGTAATAATGCAACTACCTAATTCATTAAAGTTCTACCTTCACCAGCAAATAACAAAAAATTGAGACCAAATAAAATGGAAAAAACTAAACCAGCCATCATATGGAATTAACCTGTATAAAACAAAGAGGGGCTATTTTATGAGGCTTCAGTGGCGAAGTGGTTAGCGCACTTGCCTTTCACTGACCTTTAAGGCCGCAGGTTCAAGCCTCAGTGGGAACTACCTCAATGCGACTCGAACCCAGTCCTCATGTGAAAAAAGTAAAAGTCAGCTTAGACTAGTCCCTAGGCTTCTTAGTATGCCTATTTCGCGTTTCTGCATATTAATGAGGTGACGGCTCGGAAATCAAAAGCGTGCACAGAGGACTAGGGACTAGTCTGAGTAAAATTCAACGCTCTGCCGAAAGTCGTGGGTTTTCTCCGGGTACTACGGTTTTCTCCTGCAGGGAAAGTTGACGGGGTGGGTTAGGTAAAAGAGCCAACAGTAATTGGCATTTGCTGTTGTGGTGACCCTGCCCTAGTAAGCAAAAGCTAAATAAATAAATAAACAAGAAAATCTTAACAGTTAATCAATTTAAGCAGAAGGACATGTGGCATCTTACATATGATATACGCCGGGTAAGACTGACTTCCAGGTCCTTCGGTTTTCCAACCACCAAATGATGGATACCTTAGTATTGGAGCTTATTATACTTTTTGATCACATAAATTTAAATTAGAAATTACACCCTGAGCAAAAATCTATACAGACACAAAATATAGCTTTATCTAGTTTGCGGTTTAGTAGTTACTTCCGCTTTGCACAGCCTTTTTAATTGTTTATTATATCGAGATAGTTTTTACTACTTGTATGTTTTCAAATACACATGCACGCACGCAAAATTAATATCCTGCAAATATTTCGCTAACTCCTTTGGGAAGTTTAGAGGTCGCAAATGCTGCCCCAAATAGTCCAGATGAACACACCAAAGACTGTTCAAACATTGCCTCGTACATTAATTTACTACTTAAACCAGAGACGGCGTCGCTTATGAACTTCAATGCATACTGATAAATATGATTTGAGACGAAAAATACCAGTAGCTAATTATTCTCATTAATCTATTATAACGAATATGACCTAGTAACATACCTGCTATAAGTAAGTGCTCCACATTGAACAGCAAACGCTATAAGGTATAGCAATCTTCATGTTTTGCCAACAACATGTTAGGGTTACGGTTGATATCCGTGTAATGATCAAAGAGAAATATATTCGTACGCGATACATTAAGGATGTTATCTGAAGTTCTTCTGCTTTCGATACTACTTTATTTGCAAATATAAGACACAAGGCCCCTGTGGATATAGATTTCGGAAGTCTATGGTGAATTCGGATAATTTCGTTTAACAGTTGCATGAGAATTACAATCGTTTGTCTTCCCTCCCTAGACTGACACAAACTGAATACTGTTAGTTCTAAAAAGTGCCTTGTAGCTTTATTCATAAATTGGCTTTCACAAAATAAATTAATTAAGACTTAATTACGATTTATATTGCGTGTGGTGTTTTGTAGAAACATGATTTTCTATCGGATAAATATATAATTAGAATTTTGATTGGGGTGATCTGCACATGTAAGAGACATTTGATCTCGTGAAGATGTTTGCGCATTTGAGAGTTTTCTGGTTATTAATTAGAGCTATATGTGTTCACCCCACTGATGGTTCACCCTCATTAATTAAAAATCTATTATCGGCAAGTTGGAATGTTGCAACTTGTCGCCACCGTATAAGTACCCTGGGTGCCAGAGCCTCCTGTGATAGAAGTGAGGACACGACGAGGAGGCTCTGGTCACACGAGCAACCAGCCTCACTTTGGTGAGTTCAATATTTGAACTCTGTTTGTGATTCGTTTATATTTATGCGAGTCGTTTCGTTGGTTAACCGACACTCATAGGTTAACCAATGAAAAGACTCAAATAAATTTAGACCAATCATAAACAGAGTTCAAATATTGTACTCACCAAAGTGAGACTGGATGCTCGTGTGACCAGAGCCTCCTCGTCGTGTCCCCAGGCTACCGTATAAGTGAATAGAGAAAGTATTTGGTCAATTATTTATCCATGCATCGATTAACATAATCTAATAGTTATATTGTATCAATACCAGGGGTCATTTTTGGGACACTCTGAATAATATTCGAAGTTTAAGTTAAAGATTGGTACTTGTTCTCCTCATCTCTGGTTTTGCTCAACTCAGTATAAGTAGACTCATCGACATTTGCAGCCTGATTACTTGCAGCATTCACTCTCAATGATTGATAATTATCTTCTGTGTTCATTTTTGAAAGATCAAGCCCTTGATAAGTTGTATCAGCTTCAGTTCTCTTTGGTTCAGGGTTTAATTGAGGTCCTTTGTCTCTCAATGATTGATAATTATCTTCTGTATTCATTTTTGAAAGATCTAGCCCTTGATAAGTTGTATCAGCTTCAGTTGTCTTTGGTTCAGGGTTTAATTGAGGTCCTCTGTTTCTCAATGATTGATAATTATCCTCTGTGTTCATTTTCGTAAGATCCAGTGCTTGGTAGGTTGTATCAGCTTCAGTCGTTTGTGCTTCAGGGTTTTGTTCAGGTTTTCTGTTTTTCAACCAACGACGACGAGAACACCAGCCAATGTAGAAAAGCAAAATTACAATAATAATTCCAGACACCAATATTACCGCAACGATATACCATTCGATTCCACTACCTGCGTCATTTGAAGATGGTTTGTCTAAATATACGAAAGAGACACCAAAATATATCAGGGGAGGGGCTGCGAGGGAGATAATCTCTCCATTCTAATACTCTGGTAAAAGCATAAGGGAAAGCCAGACTGAAGCGAAATTGTATTATATTTGTTTCGTGTTTGTTTCCTACCAAGACGAATATGCTGGACATTCAGTGCGTGAGTGACAACAAAGACGTCCGGGAGGGGGAGGGAGGGCACGCGAAATTAAATAGTCGAAAAAGAAAGAAATTTGATTTTACGAAAATGTTTTATTGATGCCTCAATAATTTTTCGCTGGCGGCCAGCCTTTCCCTCCCACATCCCCGTCGGCAGAAATTATGGGAACTTTATGAGGGAAAACTTTTTGTTTTGCTTGGGCAATTTCTTTCAACATAGGGAAAACTTTTGTCTCCCCCTCCTTTTTACAATAACACAATAATAACAAGGAATTGACTAACTTTTGTTTGAATGTAGAACAAAGCGCTGCAAGAAGGTAGAAGATTTGGTGTTTTACTATTATTCTTTTGACAGAATTATATCAACTCTAACTCAGCAAAAAACAGTAGCACTTGTTTAGTTTGCTTTGTTCAAATGCAAAAAAAAATAATAAAGTCGAGGCTATGCGTGCAGTAATGTTATACGCTTCATTAAATCTGCAAGCGGTCGATTCATATTATAACCAAGTGAACATAAAATTGATCATAATTCATAAAACTGAACAGTTGATAAGTACATGTTGGTATATTACAGCTGGTTCAATTAAGGTTGTCTTTCTAAAACCTTAAACCGTAAACTCTGAGCACGCAAGAGACAATGGGTTTTCACCTATTAGGCCCTTAAACTAAAAAATATTGCCTTTGCAGCAAGTATGTTTTCTGTTGTGAGTATATATGTCTTAAATATTTAATTTTTGCAAAGCCAAATTTCAAAGTTTATGAGTCTAAATAAGCAATAACGCATCATTCCTTGCGCGGATGGAAGGACAACCTTGACTGAATTAGCTGTATATTGAAGAGAGGACATCAGGTTTGAAACTGCATGCTATTTTACTATTACATGGAACTGCACGTACAAACTTTTAGCACACACTATAGATTTCGCCGATAAAAGTTAAGAAAATTACAAGTACAGAATCTGCCTGATTGACGCTGAAATGTGAAACAGATATACTTAGTCTGAACTCCGTGAAACTAAACCGCAGATGTAGTGTAAACCAAGTTTAAAATAAACTGTAATATTGCTTTACCTGTTTTATTGTCTTTTGTAGTGATCGTCATTGTTTCGCTTGATTTTGACGATGGTTGAAGTGTTGTTAGTGTCGCTGGTGGTATCGTTGGTGGTGTCGCTGGTGAGTGTACTTCTGTTATTTAGCAAAATTAAAAAACACATTTTTTCAAAATGTAAAAACACACAAAACAGTTCCTAAGTTTTGTATAATAATAATAATAATAATCTGTTTAATAAACCGAATTGCAGTAACAACTGAATTACACGGTATACATAAAATTATATGTATAGATCTAATTACAAGAAATAGAATATATAAATAAAGGTAAACATACTAAGATTATAAAAATCAAACATATTTATAACTGTTACAAAATTTCCAAAGCGGTCAGTGTTCGTGACAAATTTGTTAGTTGATTGTGTTCTAAGATAATAATTGTGTTCAGAATGCTTAGGTTCTCTACGAGCAATAGCTACATGCCAGTGGATTATAATCAACGTCCTCGTACTTTAGTTTAGTAATAAATTTTATACAAGAATTATCTCTACGGATACTAAGAGTTTTCAATCCCGTGCAAATCAAAGCCCCTTCATAAGACGTGTCAGGATAAATTATTCCTAATGCCCGTTTTTGAATTGATTCGATAACACCAGATAGATAAACCAGTGGCGTAACGTTATATCAAGGGGCCTCCGGTTCAAAATTTTCGAAGCCCCCCTATAGTAGAAGTGCCAAAGGCACGAGTCGAGCGCCGTATATGCACGAGTTTTCTAGGGGGTCCAGGGCATGGTCATCCGGAAAATTTTTTAATCTAGACTCTCTGAATGCCATTTCCTGGACTTTGGGGAGAGATTTTACAGAATTCTGATGGTCATAAAACGACATTGTAACATATCAGAGGCCCTGGCCAATGTTTTGCCCTATCACCTAAGCCTGGGGCCCCCTTTTGGGTTGGGGGCCCCCAGGTTCCCCCGGTCTGAGCCCATGGTAGTTACGCCACTGAGATAAACCGTCAAAGATGACCATGCTGGAGAAGCGTACTCAATTCTCGATCTTATAAACGAGCAATAAATGTTGACAAGCTCTGACTGACTTAAACCAGCTTTCTTAAGTATGCGAAGCGCATATAGAGCCTTGTATTTGCCTTTTTGATAACGTAGTCCACATGACAGTTCCATGAGAGATCATCAGATAGCAAGCCGAGTAATTTAAAAGATGAAACACGTTCAACATGCATTCCGGATATGTGAATCACATGATCACATTGCAGACTGTATTTCAGGAAGGATATAACCATTTCCTTGCACTTTCTTGGATTAAGTTCCATTCCCCGATTCGATGCAAAATTAAAGATTTCGTCAACAACGACATGTAGTATACTAGGCGAACACCGTGGGACAATCTCCAACAATGTGGTGTCATCAACGAACTTTACCCGCCCCTGCCAATCTTTCAAAAGGGAGTTAGTAAAGATGGCGAAAAGAATATGGCCAAGTTTAGTGCCCTGAGGTAAGCCACCGTTCACTTTCTGCCAGGAAGAAGATGCCGTTGCGAGTTTTACCCTTAGCTCCCGGCCAGTAAGAAAGGATTTAATCCATCTAATAATAGCCGGATGGACTTGGAGGTTTCTAAGTTCACCAATAATGAAATTGTGATCAACGAGATCGAAGCCTTTCCTAAAATCTGCAAAAGAATAATCTTGCATAACAATGTCCTACGTGTAAACCAGCATGAATCAGATGCAGGAAGTAAACCAATGCCTGAGTGGTTGATTTCCTAGGCATAGCAAACTGTTTGGTATCCAATTTATTGCTTACTTCACCTAGCAACGAATCCAACGTAAAACCTTCCATCACTTTACCAATCTGGGACGTAAGAGATATTGGTCGTAAATCGTCCTCGATGGATCCTGGAGGAGATACTTTAGGGATGGGTATGACAAAGGCACGCTTTAATTGTTGTGGGAAATTTCCTTGTACCATTGAAGCATTGTAGATGTCAGTAACAACAGGTGCAAGGTCGAATGCAAAGGTCTTTACAATCTTGTTGGGAATATTATCAGGACCTGGCGACTTAGTAACTTTAATACGGCGTAAGGTTGAATAAACTTTACCAGTAGAAAAAACGGTCAGGTACTTCCATCAGCTCGCCAGTATCGTTGTGATCCACAGGTTGAAAGTGCGAAGTGAGATCAATAAGAAAATTATTGTAAGACTCATTCACTTTGTATAGTAATTGGTGGTACGAACAATCTTGAGATGAGAGACCGCCCAATGATTTGATTCCTCTCCACCATCTAGATGGATTTGTATTCTTTAATTGTATAACTGAATGAGAATAAAACTTACTTCGAGCTGCTTTAACATCACGCTGAACTTTGCCTAGCCATAATTTATAAACTTGTGAAGATTTTCCATGTTTATGCAAAGCGTTTTGACGTTTTCTAATAGCAATTTTAAGTGACGAAGTCACATCCAGGGTTTGTCTGACTGCCGAGTTCTCGTTAAACTTAATCGGAAAAAAGGAATCAACCATTACCAACATCGTTTCGATAAATTTTTGGAATTTCAATTCAGAGTCAGATGTTTCAAAAACTTCTAACCAGTCATAGTTGGTAATCCATTGACCAAAAGATCTTAACCTGCTATCCCTTAAATCTCTTTTCGACTGACGACTATTATGAGGTTTTTGTTTGCGATGAAGATATGGCTTGATCAAGATTGCATTATGGTCACTTGAACCAATTGGAGGGAGTTGGGAACACGTGTACGCATGGGCTTTCACATTAACTAAACACCAGTCTAAAATAGAATTTTGTCTTGTTCGAACATTAATTATCTGCGTCAGTCCAGAAATTCGTTTCAGGTGTTTATCATTAAAACTGTCTCTACCAGTGTAGGTAGTACCAATGTGAAAATGCTGTGATGAGTGGTTATATTACTACCTTAAAAAATAAGCAGAAACTCAACGTTTCGAGCGAAGGCCCTTAGTCAAGAGTTAGTAGCTCTTGACGAAGGGCCTTCGCTCAAAACGTCGAGTTTCTGCTCATTTTTTAAGGTAGTGATATAACCACTCAGCACAGCGTTTATCATTAAACCCAGTACTTGCAGGGTTGAAATCTCCCGTAACGATGACAACTGCATCAGGGTGACGACAGAGGAAAGAGTCCACATTAGACTGAATATGATTATATAATTCAGATGATAAATAACTGCTAGGAGTATGACGGAAATTGACCTGGGCAGATATCTTGGTCTCACAGATAGGCTAACCATAGGGATCAACTAAAGGGTTTTCAAATTCTTTAATTCTCCTACATTTAATAGAAGACCTGATGTAAATGTATGTATTATTTTATATCTATATTTAATATTTGATTAATGATACTACAAAAACTTTAATCAATACATACAATCAATACATACCTTATTGCAAATACAAAACATAGAAGTTTAATTTAAGTAAAGTAATTCAATTCCTTAATAAATTTATTGGTTAAAGACGACCAGTTCTCGAAGATAATCAACTAAATGCAATCTTATACCTACGATCAAAGTTTAACTTATTGAATCGCTTCTTTCCACATGTGTTTTTGTCTGGTGATATAGAATGGACAGAGAAAATGTGTCTAAAAATATAATATTACCTATGACGGTTAAACTAGTGGAAGCTGAATCAGTTCCAAGTTTATTCCTTGCGATGCATTTGTATGTTCCAGCATCACTGTACTGTACATTATCTATGGTGTATGTCTTGTTAGTACTGATCGCGGTACCATTATGGGTTAGGTTATAATTTGGTTCAGGAAGACCATCAGAGTTACACGTTATGGTAGCTGACCCACCAACGACAGCTGCTTCTGGTGTAATCGTAATCTTTGTGTTGTTAGGCTTAACTGTGAAGAAACAAAACCTGTTTGTTCATAAAATAATGAAAATATAGGCATAGTGTAAATTTAGATTTTCTCGCTTTGCGTGAACTGAATTTGCAAAACCAAAAATCAAACTGAACCTTATGATAAAAATAATATTTGCTATATCGAAATTAAAATTATCTCATTATCTCAATTATCTCGAATTGAAAATGAAACTATCTCATCATCCGGCCGGATTATAATGGGCGTTTTATAGCAACGCTATTATATAGGGAATATAGATTTACAAATTATATTTTTCGTGCAAATAGCGGGACTAAAAAATTAACCAAGATTTACACCATTAAAGTAATTTAAAACAAATTCCAAAAATTTACAAACTTGTTTTTGGCAATCCATTTGGAAATTTCAAAAACAATGTCGCTCTATAGGCGCCCACATATTTTCTACCATGTTTACTCATTACCAAGAAATTAAGGTTAATGAATCCCATAATTATTTGTATTTGGTGAGAGCATAATATGGGCCACACAAATGCGGCCTGTTGAGATTCATGGTATTTAATTTAATATATTAAAAGGCGGAACTTTATTTCTTGAAATATTCTTAAATCATGACAATAATTATACAATTGCAGAAAATAATGACGGTCTATAAGATAACATGAAAGTTGATAGGTCTATCTAAAATTGTTGACTATACTGACACTGTACACTGTTTGATTTCATGTAAGATAAAAGCTATAAAAGCTATCGCAATGAAAATATGAAATAAAGACCATTGCATTCAGAAAGGACTAACTTAAATTTTGATACATATAGCACTCGCCTGTCCCGCCACTCGAATTTACATGCATGTATGCAATATTGACTGCGTTATTGTCTATTGATGTTTGAACGTTGAACTACTGTTTTTGAAAATGCCAAAAATGCTAAATTACCGATGTATAGTCATACTTGTTACGGCAATTGATAAAACTAGAATAGTGAAGCGAATAGTGCGAATAGTCGACGAATAGTACGAATAGTCCGCGAATAGTCGACGAATAGTGCGAATAGTCTGCGAATAGTCGACGAATAGTACGAATAGTCCGCGAATAGTCGACGAATAGTACGAATAGTACGAATAGTCGACGAATAGTACGAATAGTCGACAAATAGTACGAATAGTCCGCGAATAGGCAATAGAGAGTTTGCAAGGCTTTGCACCGTGCTGTAGAACTAAATTTACCGAAGCGGGGCGGGGGGAGGGGGGGCTCTATTGACAAACATGAAATCGTGAAAACATTCGTTGATGTCAATTACGTCATACGTAATCGGTAAAAATTACGGGACCACTGAGTTTTAACAAATATTTAACAGGAAGTAGAATGACAATCACTAGAATGACGTTTTCCACTGGGCAAATTTGTTCGCGCGAAGCGACAAGTAAAAGAGTAGGAACTGTTCCACAGGGCCGTGCCAACCGGTTTCTGGTTGGGGGGGGGGTGTATTCCAAATTTTGACCCCCCTTCCATTCCAGCCCCCCCCCC